AAGAGACTATTGGAGGATCAGGGTACACCCCTGTCGGGAACCAGTCTTGCGCAGACGAGAAGCCTCCCCTACACAGGCCAAATTGATCTCGGACATCCCTTGTGGACGACCCAGCATGAGCTGCTCACTCAGTTGTCGGAAGTTGTGCGCCGTGAGAGTCCCTCTTAGCTCGTGCAGCAGCGCGCTGGTCTCGTCGCCGCTGTCGCGTGCAACTCTTGCAGATTCTCCCACGGCCATCCCGGCGCCAGGATACCTCAGAGCGGGGCTTGTTGCAGACACGACAAGTTGGGTCGGAGTCTGCCTTCGATATGCCCGTCGGATTGCGAACACGATCTACAGGTGCCATTGGCTTCGGACACGATGGCACGGGTGGCACCACCCCGGCTCGCACAGCCGCAGAGAGGGACCGCACAACCGGCAATCCGAGTGATCTGCACTTCTTGCGCAGCTCCGAACGGATCTTGATCCACCGCTTGTTCAGCTGTTTCTGCATAGCTTTGCGAGCCATCTGCGACATTGCTGGCATGTTGCTGAAACTCCAGCTATCAGAAGTGTCTGTGCTGAAGCGGCTTGAGACAAGATCGCTGGAAGGCACTATACCCGTGACTAATCTCAAAGCGTCCGTGCTTACTGCATGAGAATGCCTGGCACAGCCTGTCCTGATGGCTCGGATGACGACTGCTGCATTGGCTTTGGCTCCTCGGCCTGGAGCTCTGATGCTGCACACTGCGAACATGATCGCGCTGCACTGCCGAGCTCCTCAAGTTTTCGAACCATCTTGCTCAAGCAAGATGAAAATCTCCAGGAGTCTTTCCAACTGAGTTGGAGCGAAACAGTGCAAGCAGGGGCCCACAAGCTGCTTGATAAATCGGTCTCGTGAAGAAATGTCTGATTCAGTCAAGCAGCAAAACGGCAGTGTGGTGACTTGCTCGCGGTTTCAAGTCTGCAGTATACCCAGTCATGGCCTTACTCATGCAAACTACAGGCTCCACAGCACTCTCCACACCCACCCACCCACACACACACACACCCACCCACCACACCCACCACACCCACACCCACACCCACACCCACACCCACACCCACACCCACACCCACACGCACACGCNNACACCCACACCCACACCTACACACCCCCACGCCCACGCCCACGCCCACGCACAGCAGCCGACATGAGGTACGTGTAATCAGTGCAGCCAGCCAGCACAGCCCACAGTCCAAACTTGCCACCGAGAGTTGAAGCAGGGAGATCCCATATCTGCCCCACCTCAGCAAGAACACGAGCAGCAAGGAACGCCCCTGCTGTATGCACAGCTGCAAATGCAAGCTGCACGCCGACAATGACAAGGGGCAGAAGTTGACCTCGCATTTCGTCGGAGCACCAGCCGGCGCAACCCCAGCCATGATTACCCAACCATGGCGTGAATCCAACTAATTTCTATCGCTGCGGACAACAACTTCTGCATGGTTGCAACCGTCTAAGACTAGCCGACGAATAACTTGTGCAGTAACTCTGGCATAAGGCTTCTCGGAAGATGCGTCTCAGTGGGCCACTGTAATGCAAGGCTGTCTAGACAGACAGTCGATGGAATGTGTGAAGCCGGCACTGTGAAAGAATTCCGCGGACACGGCGAGTCGCGGACGCTGGCACAGAGGTCCATTCAACATGATGCTAGGATATAGGCAGACTGGCTTGAATCCTGGCTTCCGCAAGGAGACGCTGTGCGATGCATAAAAAAAACCACGAGATGCATGATAAATCTACTCCTTGTAGGGTGTAACCTCGAGACTAAAGAACCATCAACCCTGACCCAACGCCCTGAACCCTACAAACCGCGCTATAGCTCCCTGTAGCTTAAGGGCTTGGGACTTTATGGACCGCACTAAGGACGGTCCAGTTCCAGTTGCGGGTTCCGCTCCGTGCCTGCAGGTCCACGTGTAGGGGCCGGTGGAAGACGA